ATCACCCATAAGACGCCTTTACGTATCTCCATCTACCAATTGTCCATAATCAGCTATTTAAAACAGCATCGGAAATTTCTTTTGGGCCTTGCTTCGGTCTGATGGACAGGCAAACGAGCCTGGAGGAGGAGGGCCGGGGGAGGAGAGACGGATATTTTCTATGGAATGATGAATAGGCCAAGTTGAGTGGCTGACTAACAGAGATCTGTCTTAATCAGAAGTGATTTGTCAGAACAGGAGCTCTGCGGGGTCAGGGCGCAGGCGATGAATAAAACAGAGGCTGGCGGAGTGAAGAAAGGCCCCAGAAATCCACCCTGACTGCCCACCACCACTCATACACATGCAAAGGGAAGCGCAGATGCATGGGCTAAGTCAGGTTTGACTGTTATGGCACTGCTTCTCCCTGCCCAGAATATTACTAGTTTTGGGCCTTTTATGTGCTTAGGCTCGTGCAAGAAAAGGTCAGGGCCTCACCTGCTCTGTCAGTTGACCATCTCAAAACTACCTATACACTGTGCTGTTAAAGAGGAGGTAGTGTTAAACATACATACAAACATGGGTAGAAAAATTCCATTATCGAGGACAAGGCATTTCTTCTCATTAAACACTAGATATCTCTTTGACACTTAAATCCTTTATTGCCTGTCCTGCGAAGTACCCGCTCCTGATTACCATGCGATAGAGTTGGTTTATTATTATAAGTAACCTGTCATAACATCGCTCAGCCCCCAGATGCTACATGCCCCCCCCCCCGTGACCTAGCACTTGGCACCTCTTTATTTTGAGCTATAGCGCGGTGCAAAGGCGCTAGCCTCATGGCCTGTGGGCTCAGCATTACAAATACATCCCAATGTGGGTACAACTTTGATGGAGGTGATGAAAGTGTGTCACCAGGCTGTTGTAGACTTGAGAAGTCTTTTAAAAAAAAGGTTCCCTGACAGTGTACAAAGACAGGTAACTTTATTCACCTGGGAGTCACAGGCATATAAGTTGACTGGTGTGTGTGTGTGTGTGTGTGTGTGTGTGTGTGTGTGTGTGAGATAGAGATAGCTTGAGAGAGAGAAATGGTCTAACATTTATCAGCCTCCTCACTCCCCCTCAACTCTCCCATGGGTTTCCATACCCCGTTTGTTGGAGTGTGTGGCTTGTGTCCAGATACAAGTGTGTGTGGTAACCTTCAAAAAGTGGTCTCAACTGCTTAATGAAAAGGAGCTGTGCTGAGCCTCAGAGCACACCACTGTCAGGTCTTGTACCCTTTCAGCTCTGGGGACGGAGGGGGCAGGGCAAAAAAGGCAACACAGAAAGAGTGACAGAGCCTTTAGACAATGTGTAACTGCTCTGAAACTGCTGCTGTAAAATAGATGATGCCTCCAATTAAATGGAGAAAGTTGAAGGCTGTGGAGGTTTGGATGATAGTAGTATTGTTTGCTTTCTGAACTGTATTGTCCTGGGCCAGGCTAGGCAGACATGGGCAGTTCATGGTATTTGGTACAGAATTATAAATGTTTAGCTGTGCCTTTTCTCTTTTTGTTTTTACCTGACAGTAAGATAAAATAAGTTAATCTTATTGATTAATCTGCCAGTGATTTTTCTGATAACATTTGTTTGGTCTATTAAACGTCGAAAAGTAGTGAAAAATGCCACAAATTTCCTAAGACTTAAGATGATACAAACTGCTTATCTTTTCCACTTGTTCCACAATGCAAAGATATACAGTTGACTGCCACAGAAGACTAAAAACTTTAAATGATTAGTAAAACATTTCCTTATTATTTTTCTGTTGATAGACTAATTGTTGCAGCTCTGTTCAAGAGTCAGAGCATACAGAAATGTTTCACTCCAACTCTGTTTTGGCTTATATTATGGTGCTTCTTCTAGTGTTACAGATTACATAAGTACATGCACTGGTAAAGTTAATTGTCCAGTAAATATATTTATTAGCAAAATGGTTGAGCTGAGACAACTGGACTGTGCTATGTCAGGAGTGTGTCTAATTCCTGATCAAGACATTATTTCCCCCTCACTCTAATTTGGGCCTTCAACTTTTCTATACTAATTCTTTTCTACAGTTGCATTAGAGGATCGAGTTAAATTAAGGCTCTCTGGTGCTGGTGTGACTGTAATGTAATGGAATAATGGGCTTGTTAAATGGACCTTGGGGGATGGGGATCTTTAACAAGTGAGTCAGAGCAAGGCCTCTGGGCCAGGGTTATTTAAATTGTTAATAGCTGTTTAAACAGGAGGAGAATATTTTATACACTAACGAGCAACAAGTCAAGGGCATTAACAGTGAATTATTTGTCCTTTCCTGCTTTTTTATCAACTGTACATTTTTTATTTATAAAGGATGTCTCTATTTTCAGTACTCCACATTGTTGTCAGGGCAATACATTCTACAAATATTTCGATTTTTTGCAGTTAAAGAATATGTTTAAACTTGAATATGTAAGATCAGTGATTGTGTCCAGTGACCAAACATTAACATGAGCTAAGATAATATTACTGGAGGTGCATCAATTTTTTTTTTCACACAGGTATTGACAGTTTTATGGTGAATGACTTGTCTACATCAAGTATATGATGACAAAGTTATCACATTATGGCAGTAGTCTGTTACTTGAGGAACCTTTCATTAATCATTTATGTCAGATTTTTTGTTTTTAACTCAGTATTTTGCACCATTTGTTGTCCAACAACTTCATCTTCCCAGTAACTAATGACGTTTTACACATACCGCTGGACAGCAGGAGTTAAATAAGATGAATGGAAATGTAGATACATGCCAGAGAATGAGTGATGCAAGGGAAGATACATGATAAAGACAATAAACATCATACATTCCCCCGGGATGTGTTGTGCCTCTAATGGCTCAATGTGGTGGGGGGAAACCCAGAAAGGAATGATGAGAGATTTTGGAGGACTGGGGAGAGACCTTAATGGCAGCACAAAGCAAAGCAAATGTTTATCTTAACAAGCTATGATGATTTTTTTTTAGTCATCTGGAACAAGAGAATATTATATTGACTGTAAATGGTTTTATACTCCTCATTCTGGTTTTCTATTGAAAATGCCACTTTTGAACAGATCTGGTGTTGTCATGTTGCACAATTTCCTTTTCTTACGTTGATGTACAGTGAATATGCCTTTTTCTGTGTAGAAAGTTCTCTCTCTTGGTCAAGGTTGTACATTGTGGCTGTCTTCCAGCAAGGATAAAAAAGTATACATTTCATAATTTCTATTCAGCAGCTATTACATTTGTCAAGGGCAACCATTCACGTGTGGGTAGTCTGTACATTCTCTCAGTATCCAGTGGTGGATGTTTGTACTTACAGACTACTGAAAACCTTGGAGTCATATTCTTTAGACAGCACCAACACAGTGCTCTCTACAGCACCCTACAATTGACAGAAAGCTGAATCCAATGTGCTTCAGTTCTTGTCCACTGAAAAGTAGCTTATTTCTATTCCTTTTTTTTGTTTAATAGTTTGGTTTTTTTTGCTACCTAAACCTTCACGAAAACCTTGATTGTCTTAACACCTTAACAGAATGTGTGTAATGAATGTCCAGTACTTAGGCTAAGCACCATCCATCTTTCTACATGTTGCAAACCTTTCCAATAATGCATGTCAAAAAAACTCTGCCGCTACAGTCCTCGTCACACTCGTTTATTAAAAAAAAAAAAAAAAGCAACCTTGACAGAGATGGATAGATATGCTTATTTGTCTCTTTAACAGAATATTTCCACTACAACTCCCATCCTGTTTATCTCTTGTTCTTCTCCAATGGGGACGGGGGAGGGCTTGTATTTTTATGGTTATTAATACCTGCACTCAGTCTTTTAATCTGCCCTATTTGTCACATGTGACTGTCTGACTGCACTGTTTAATCTGGGTATCCTTCAATCTGTCTCGTCCCAGATTAGAAATTAATGAAGGCAGGAAGAGACACATTTGAGTCAGTTACAGTGTAGGGGGGTAAAAGGGATGGGATGAATGGGAGACGAATGTCGTTCATTTGACAGCGTTTCTCTTTTTTCTACTTTTCCCTGATCCCCTTTCTCTGTCTCTGTCTCTCTCTATCTTCCTCTCTATCTCTCTCTCTCTCTTCTCTTGTTTAGCTGCCAGATGTAGCCCATTTTTGCACTGCTCCCCCCAAACAGGCGCTCAGCACGTGGGCCCTTTGGTGTGCGGCACCTGTGTAGTGTAATACAGTCAGCAACTGCGTTGTTTATTCCGGATTTGTTTGGTGCGCTTGAAAGCCTGTCTTTGATCCATGCAAAGATTCTTCACTTCTTTTCCTTTTTTCCTGATTCATCGTCTGCCTCCCTCATTTTTAAGCGCTAATGCTGCAGCAGTATGGTTACATTGATGGCAGCAGTGGGTTTTTTGGTGATGGGTGGGGGGGTTATTTGGTTTATCTTTTATTTTCCTTTTTTTTTCTCATACCCAACCCAGGGGACAGGAAAATGACAGTGACCACTGACAAGCTTGTCAGGTGCCTTGTCGGGGATGTTTTATAACTGTGCGTTAATGTGTTTACATCTGCAACTGACGAGAGGCATTTAAAAAAAGAATGGCTTAATGAATATTGTATTGGCTGAGTGGACCCCACTGGCAGACTCGTTGCTGGGGTATTGTTGCCTAGAACTTCATGTCTATTTACCTCAGCATTTTAAGAAAATTTAAAAATCACTTTCCTTAGCTACAATATTCTACTATCTGCCCGCCTGACACTCCCTGTAGACAGTGTTTTCTCTTTACACTCTACAGTTTGTGTACAAAATGTTGCACAATGGCTGCATACAGAATGCTCTTGTTATTTTTAAGAGTGAATCCAGGCAAAAAAAAGGATCACACTTAAGTTTTGATGACAACGACAGAGAATGAAGTGTTTTATTAAAAAATCATTCAAGGTCAATCTTAATGTTGTGAGTATTTCAAGAATGTGGATACCACGTTTCGCAAGTTAAGCCATTTTCAGTTCTTTTTTTTTTTATCACTTCCAGGATTTTAACACAACATTTTGTAAATTGTGACACACACCTTCTCATACCGCATCTGCTTCTCTCACAGAGCAAGTGGGTCAGGAGATTCTTTCCAACCTGCACAGTGACCGTGAGAAGATCCAAAGAGCCAGAGAAAGGGTGAGTACTCGCATGCCACCTGCACACACTTCCCTGTCTATTTTAGCAACTGTTTGTGAGACCGTAGAGGTGTGACAACTGGTCAGCACCGTTGACAGCATCCACCACTTTCTGCATGGTTTGCCAAGAAAACACACACAAGCAAGTCCACGCACAGAAAACATGGCACACAGACACACTGTCTTACTTACAGGTGTACACACACCAAGTCAGCTGAATTGTATTGACAAGGTATGTAATGTGCTTATTTATTGATAGCACAGTATTGCATCCGAGTAAATATTTTTAGCCGTCAATATCACCTCACAATTGTAAATTGTAAATGTTTTTCTTAAGTTTATTAAGAGATAAAATGTTTTCCAGATTATTCCACGCAAACAGCTAGTAAAATTAGCTTGCTTGTGGCTATATATTGTTAGTACCTGTACACCTTTCTCCAGGATTTTCCCATTTTTATTCCTCTCACCTGAATGGGGTTAACGTTACCAGCTGCCATCCTTTCCTCACTTACCCTCCTTCACTTCTCAGCATTCTTCTCCTGTTTCACTCTCTCCTTCCCACTTTCCCTCAGAGATTCCTCCCCAGTCCTTAGCACCTGCCAAACAGACAGGTAGGCAGACACAGAAAAGACCAAACACAGGAAGGGGGCCCAGCCCTGACGGCATCCTCAACGCAGAATGCTTAAAGACCACATCATGGCAGTGGGCCTCGCACAGGCGATTTCAAAGGAAATCAAACATCTCCTTTCAAAACGGTCCACAGTGTCTACTGAGAGTACCTGCTCTGTCTTTCTTTTGCTTTCTCTCTCTCGCTCTCTCTTCCTTCTTCCCATGAGTCCCCCCCATCACCACCACCATCGGGGCTTTAAAGGCAGTTTGTGGGGCAAAAGTAAAGTGAAAAGTAGATCTAAAGATACAGGATGGAAGGGTTGGTTAACAGCTCTTTAACATTAAAGAGATGTAAGGTGAGGGTGGTATAGTTTTAGCATAAATGCCAACACAAGAATCCACATGCACAACTGTAAACACACACACAAATACACACAAATTCCCTATGCTCAGCAGGGGTTTTGGCCTTTTGTTTTGCTTTTATGGTACAAATAGAAGTCAGTGGAAGGTTTCAGCACTGGGTCAAAGCAGTATGCTCCCAACTTTGAAGAATGTGATTTAACCATTCTCCAGGCTAGCTCATACTGACAGGAATCACCCCAAAATGTGTAATTTATATCCTTGAATCAGTAATTCCACTGTATTAAATGTATTTATCTGAGGGTAGGAATGACTCATTTCAGGGAACAAAATAAGCAATTTGTGTGCACAAATGGCTAATTTTCTCCCATAAATTAATATTTTTTGCCCTCAAATTACTAAATCATTCTGTCAGGTTAGCACTAGTCCTCTTCTCTATTGATAGATGCACATCTTACCCAGTAGCCTGTGATCTTTGCGTTGTTTGTGCATCTATCTATAGCCACAAATTAGGCACCATGAATTTTAATTGGCAACCTCAACACTGAAACTTAGCTGCTAGCCTGCTGCTTTGCCTCTTTTTCCTAACTGACCAGACTAAACACAAAAGGTATAACTTCAGTGCCCGTAGTTAAAATAAGCTATTAATGTAAGGGAATGAAATAAGTATTTTGTCATTTGAGAGCACAGATTATTAATATAAGTGGATTAATTGCATAATTTAGTAATTTATTGTCCCTCATCCTTCTCAATAAGCTTACAAACTCAAATGCGCTTGAATTTGAGTTGGTTTCCATTTCAGGTTGAAGAGGAAAGCATGAGATTTGGTGAGCGGCTGTGGAGAGAGAAAGAGGAATGGAAAGAAGGAATGATTCAGAGATGTATTTTGGGAGAAAGTGTGAAGTATCTAGGGGACAGATCTGTGGGTAGAGGCAGACATCAGGCAACTGCAGGACTTGTTGTCTTTGCCAGAGGGCCCAAACCCCAGGTCCCCCACCTCATACCCTGTACCACATGTATCCTTGGGTCTTCCAACCTGCATCGCACCACTCCAGGCTGCCAGAGGGTAGGAAGGATGGATGGAAGAAGAGGAAAAAAGTAGCAGTAAAGGAGGGGTGGGAAGAGAGGGTGAATTGTAGGCAGGAGAGATGACTGCAAGATGAGCCAGAACAAACAGGAAACGGGTGATGCTGGAACCATTGTAGAGAAGAGGAAGTTTGGAAGTAGAGATGTGAAAGTGAGGACTTAAAAATAGAATAGAATACAATATAATACACTGACGAAAACATACTAAGTGAGAGAGGCGTTATTGGGACAGCAGTTAGTATCGCAGATGAATAACTCCCTGCTGACTCTAGAGAGAACTTCTCTGCAAAGATTCTTCCCCACATTCCCTCATCATCCTCTAGAAATCCAACTGCAGGTAGACATTAGTGGCAGCTCACTCAGTGCGGTGTCAGCACTTTTTCACAGTCACACTTGCACCTTGTTGGCAACATCTCTGCCAATTCCCTTTCCCAGTGAAAGTCCCTACATCTGATAAAAGAATAGAATGAAAACATCTCGACAATCCCCTGAGGGAAAAAAAGGGCAGAGAGAAAGAAAGGAGAGAAGGTGGAGCAAGAAAAAGGACAATATCCGAGGCAATTAGCCTTTAATAGCCATGATCATTATTTCAAGTGCGCCTTCAAGAACTCCCTGTGCCTGCTGTTTAAGTCAAAAATAAAGGGCTCTTCTCACTCTTTTTCCTACACCACTCTAACTTTTGCATTGCCGCAAGATGAGGTGAAGGCTGTTAGAATGACATGACTTGTTTGATTTTACAGGGCTGTGAGGCTTTAATGTTGGAACACTTTTACAACATTCAATGTTTTGGTAAAAATGTGTACTGTGTAAATATATGTACTGTAGGTGCCCTCGCCGTTTATTCATCAATCTGTTACTGATATAAGATATAGGGTCTTAATTGTCATTTTATACAAGAAATTAACTTTATTTTCATTGTGTAATGAGGTGGTTATTTGTAGTCAGAGGTCATTTTTCCACTCTAATTTTGACCTTTGTAGTTTATTTGTTGACTGTGTTTAATAACCTTGAGAGTTGTTTGGAAACTAAAACTTGTCTTTCACCGGTTCTGTCCCCACAGCTGAGAGAAACAGACGCCAACCTGGGCAAGAGTTCTCGCATCCTTACCGGCATGCTGAGAAGGTAAGAGGCAGGTAGGGACCTTGTTTCTGCACCTCTGTATGTGTATTGTGCGTTAACTGTGCCGTGATGTGCTTGCTCTAAGTCATCACCATCTAATAAAGTTTGTAATCAGATAAAAATGATCTTTTCCTTTCTTTTTCTGATCGGTGTTAAACACTGTGTTGCTGTTGGCCATAGTGCTTTGCTTTGCATTGCTTTACCAGAAAACACAGGTAGTAACAACTAGTTAAATTGTGACCAATTGATTTTGTCCATCTAAATGGAATTTTATTCGGGCTACATTTATCAAACAACTACTGAACAACGTATAATTGCAATAGTTGCAGTATTTGGTACATTTTTTGCTGTAGAATCATCTTGAGGGTCATGTTTTCTTTGTGAATTTATTTTATTGTTAAGTTTCAGAGACAATGTTTCCAAAGCATCAAAATATAGTTTGTCCCAATATTTGTAATATTAACCTCAATATGTCATAAATATATATTTATTAATTAGATAGTTATATTTAATTGTGATTCTAATAAATCTGATCAATTGTATGTTCCAGAAATATGGCACATACTGTATGTCTGAATGAACAAACTAACTTAAGTTTGAACAAACAGTGCGAATGCCTGTATTGGCACATGCAGTGGTATTGGTGTTAAGTGCCTGGGTAGATGGAGAAGAGTCGCTTAACATAACATCCAGCAGAAAAAGGCTGGTAAAGACAAGTGCGCACTGTACATTTCTCCATTCTTTCCTTTTCTTTTCTTCTCTTTGCCTTTGTTTTTCACAAACTGTACTTACAGCCCATATCGAACTTACAGTCTTTGTCTCTTTTGCTAGTTCATGCACAAGGCAGCCCCCAACAATCACAAGCATTCACACGCACATATTTGAATAGCCCTTACTTTATCTTATGCACCCGTCACCCCACACACACACACACACACACATACACACACACACTCCCCGTAATGTCTTGTCACATCTCCATTTCATAAAGTGCCTGTGTGCCTACCCCTGAACCGTGACGCCACGGTTTTGTTTCTCGCTCCCTCTTTCTTGTTTTTTTTTTTCTCCCTGTCGCCCACTGTGGATTTTGATTAAGAGTAATATGTAAATGACACAGACTAAATGTAAAATCCTGGGGCCAGGAAGGAAGTGCCAATTGAAATAGATGCTTCAGTGCCCGTAGACAATTTGGAGGGCGGCTCACAGGGCGGCCGGCAGTTACTAGAGAGGGAAGGCCTGAGAAGGGCTGTGACGCCGACTGTAACCAATATTTCTGCATATGTCTCCATTTTGTCAAGTCTGATTATGGGAAGAGGAAGAGTGTCGCGGGGGGGTCAACTTGCCTGATATGTCACCCAAAGCTGTCCAGAAATCATTCATCATTCCCTCCTCCTTCCCTCTCTTCTTCCCTCCACCCCCCTCTGGTCTGGTGCTGAAGTAAATAACACACTTATTTCAATATTATCATATTAATGTTAAAGTTCAGCTGTCACCTAATGGGAAGACTTAATCAGACGTAGCATTTTAAGAGCCAGACACCCCCCCACCCACACTCTCCAGCCCCCCTCTTGACGTGCCTCTCTTCCTCTGGTTAGCACCCCGCTCAAATCAGGATTTATGAGGGCCTTCCAAAGTGGGGCCCGGCTGTGAGCCTCTCCGACTACCACCCGCCTTTCTGCTTGATGGGAGCAGCACAACATACACCCCCCGTAAAGTCATTTTTTTCTTGTCGTTTCTTCGCTGTTGGACTAAAAGAAAGTGTGTTTTGTTGTAAGGTTGTGGGCTGGAAACGTCTGAAGTAATTTATAACCAGAGATGGAGAACTGAGAGAGAAAAATAAGTTCAGGATGGTTCAATGATATCTCACCCAACCCCCTTTTAGGCAATTCTTCCTCATTTCCCCATTCAATTCATTATTTGCTTCCCTGGTTTTCTGCCTTGTGATTAATTGTGTATTTGTGTGCGATGTCAGAGCAATTGTAGTTTCTTTACACTGTTGTTTGGGTTGAGGGGGTGGTTAGTTTGGCATTCTCCACTTGTTTGTCTCAGCTATAGAAGTAGTGTATTGCTGTAAGTCTAGCATGAATATGTAAATGACTTTTACAAATATTGATGTAAATCTTTCCTGTTATATATTATATTATAACCTCTACACTTATGACACAAACCTGAGGTGGACAACTAATTGGTGGCTTAATACATTTTTGCTGTTCCTTTTAGTTGTAATGCAGCAATTAGCAAAATTTGAAAGCCAGTATCATATTTTTGTCCTTTGTCCAGGAGCCTTGGACAATCAAAACTTTTTGCATTTTTGGCAATTTAACTGTGGTAGGGAGCAGATACAGAAATATTGCAGCAATTTTAAGTAGATTAAAACCGTCAACACTGGAGTGGAAGTAGAGGAATGGTGGAATTTATTGTGATCCACAGGACAAATTTCCTTTTTGGTTGAGTGTTGGAGTTTTTTTTAAACTCACACCTCTTCTTGAAGTGTCTTTATGGTCTGGTGGATATCACCCCAGCAGAGAAACAATTAGACACTCAATAAACTAGCTGTCAGGGTTCAAAAAAAGCCAATTAACTTAAAGGCTGTGTGAATATCACTTATTCTAAGAAACATTCAGAGACTCTCGCATCATAAATAGCTGTTGCTTTGTTTGAAAATGAATCTTTACAAATGTATGAATGTGAAAGTCATCACTGCCATTGAGGGTAATTAGTATAAAACACTGTTTATAGGTGCTGTTGATTGGCTGGGTCATTGTTGATAACGGTCTCACAAACATAGCCTCTATCATGTCAGCTCTATTCATCTACTTAGACGATGTCAGTGGTCTAGTGGTGAGCATCCAGGCCATCCATTCGTGGTTAATTTTTAATTCAGTTTTCTGAAATCCTTTGGGTTTTAATTATACTGTGAAAGGCGCAATGATCCCAATGAGGCAGAAAGGCAAGCCTGAAATTATATTAATACCTATGATCATCAAATTATCTATTATCATTTTGTAAAATGTCTGTTTAGCACCACCACACCAGTCCCTCTGTCCCACAAAGATTTGGCAATAGCTTGGCCTTGCAATAGTTTTAGCAACTTTTATTGCATTTCTTATTAAAAGATGATTTTAGTGTAGCTGTATTGATATTATATGATACAGAAATACTTTTGTAGTAGTTTTAAACTTATGTTGTTGGAAAATGCAGGTTTTGTACACATTGGCATCTTAGGGTGCTTTCACGCCTGTATTTCGGGTTCATTTTGTCCAGACCAAGTGAAAAAAATGATGCACTGTTGCATTTTAGTTCTGGTCCGGTTCATGTTCACACTGCAGTTTTACAAACGAACCAAGAGAAGTAAGCATGACATTACAGACTTACAGGTAACTTGTTGATTGGACAGCTTTGGCGATTGTCATCCTGCATCATCAGGGCCCACATGGGGAAATCAAACCTCAGTGACTGACAGAAGTCTATGAAGCACTGTAATGCTTCTGATCTGTATTGTAAAGAGCCCACAAAGTAATCATTTATTATAAGCATGATTAGGTATGTCAGACTGCAGATCAACCGCATAGCCTAATATGAATGAAAACGTAAAAACAGGACATGTACAGTAATAATTGGGAACTTATTAGCCTATAGTATGCTGTGGTATCGCTGTCACAAATGTTTTATGGACTGACAAGTATACGTTACCAAATGATTTTCATAAACATAGCATGGCTTATACAGATCAATTATAAGAATGCTGAATACATTTTGTGATCAGCAGATGGATTTGAGTGGCTGGAAATATTGCTCAGATCACATCTCTGCTATCAAGACTTGTGGTTTGTTCGTTTGCTTTCACACCACAAGCGAACTGCTCCAGAGTTTGTTAGAAAGCGTACCGAGACCGCCTCTTCTAGAAGTTCTCGGTATGCTTTTTTGGTCCGCTTTTGGTGTGCAAAAGCGGACGATTGCTGCAGTCAAACCTGCCTAAATGAACCGCACCAAGGGGGAACTCTAGTGCATTTCAACTGAACTAAATGAGACAGGTGTGAAAGCACCCTTAGAATAGAAACTAGTCAGTTGTAGAATATCCTAAATGTAGGTACATTTAGAGTGGTGGCCTAATAGTTCATGTTTTAATGTGTTGCCATCAAGCAACACTTTCTAAGATTGCTCCATAGACATTGAACAAAAGACTTTTTAGGGACTGAACTTAACCAAAATGTAAATAAAGCCGCGAGCGGCAATGATTGGCATCCAAGCCAGTCGCAAAAAACGCAACATTTGACATTTTCAGAGGAGACCAGATGCACGACTTAAGAGATTAAAGTGATGAAAGAATTTGGACTTTGAGATAATTGTGGAAACGCAGACTTTGATTTTTACAGCATCACCTTGAGATCAGAGAGTGTCATTATATGTACCTGACTACTGGGTGAAATGTCTAACCCACCTGCGACTTTTGCGTTTCCTGAAGAATGACTCTCAGTGTTTGAAGAAACACTTGTGGAGATATAGATGTTAATTGAATTAGCATATTCTGAAAAATATAGTGTGACTGACTTCTGAATTGACCATAGGTTGCAGTGAGGCAAACATTAGTCACAAATCAGTGGATGTGCTGAAAAAACTTCAGCTCTCTAGGATGTACGGATGATTTTCTTAGATTTTTTGAAGTTAGGAATGAGAAATGTCTACAAATGTACATTTCTTGTAATAAGCCATGCCCACTTTGCGCAATCATTACCAAATTTGTACGAATCCATCAAGCGAATTACGAGGTATAAACTTTTTGCAAGTGTAGCGCCCCCTAGTGGAAGAATATCCCAGGACTGCTCAATGAAGCTCGGCCGAGCATCTGCACAGACATGTAAAGTTTGGTTACAAATTGTACGTAAATACACAAAAGTAAAAATCAATGAAAAAAAAACAGATTATCAAAATTCTTTTGATAACTTTTGATCTGCGACGTCCGTAGATGATCCTGCCAAAGTTTCAGCTTGATTGCCAAAACC